TTTGTTTTGTTTTTAGTGCATTTTGTTTTGTTTTTCGTGTATTTTGTTTGGAAGTCGGTTTTGTTTTTTTATTAAAAAGTTTATTTTTATATTAAAGGTTTATAAATAAGTGACTATTGCCAGAATATTTAAGTGACCAATGTCTATAGACATCTGCTATTCCAAATGCGTTTTTAAACTGAGGTATGGACGCACAGATAGTTCCCCTTCATATGCGTGCCCATCTCCTCTAGATCCATCTTATCCTTTCGTTATAAAAATGGGTTAGTAAGGGTAGAATCGGTACGTGGAATTGATTTACAGTTAACTAGAGGCAATCCTGGTGCATGCGTTTTTGTACCATTCTTAATTTTCCAAAAAAATGGCCATTTGTTCTCCATTTTCAAAGATTTATTAAAACCTTACTAATATTATAAATGCAAAAGTTTAGATGGATGGATGGTCATTAGCGTTTACAGTTTAAACTGCTAAAAGGGTCATGATGAAATTTAGCATAAATGTATAACAGTCTGGAAGAAGACAGACTACTATTTTTTTTTTAATTCTGCACTGATGAAAAGTTATAAAATAAATTTTAAAATCTTACCTCGTTTTCTTAACTTGTATGTTACTGGAGAGCTTTTCTATAGTGATCTCTCCAGTGACCTTGTCTATAATAATCACGCATTCCTTTGTGTATGGCCTTTGGCTGCCTTTGAATACTGTCTGAGGAACTCCGGCACCATCTATAAATTAAATTAATCATAAAAAAAATAACATTTAATCTTATCACCACTACAACACAATTTGGAATAAGAGAAAAAAAACAAAGTAATTAAAAAAGCATAAATAATAAACACGTAATTACAGGGCAAACAAAGTATTTAAAATGTGTATGCAGTGCTGACCGGATTGGGTCCTCACTCAGCTATAAATGCTGGATGCTTCTGATTGAAGCACCCGGCACTTACTATATTATAAATGCGAAAGTTTAGATGGATGGATGGATATTTGGTTAGAAGTTATCTCCAGAATGGCCCAATAGATCAATGTAACTCAGCACAGATGTAAAACATAGGCTATTTTACTAAGCTTTTTTATAAGGAATATATGCAAATCTAAATGGTTGTGAAGCTTTGAAGAATTTTGGATGACTTTGATATTTTCTTAAACTGATACTCCATAACTACAAATATAGCTTAACCAACAATATAAAATCCTTGCCAGAAAAAATACAATTTCTTTCATATAAAATCTCTGTATATGACAGTTATGACACAAAGCCGATTTTAAGTAGCCCTACGTTAGGGTTTGATTTTATAAATAAGTAATATTTTATAATAATAGAGGTTATAAATAAGTCCATGAACACACTAGCAATTTCTTTTCATATTCTGCCCTTGTAAAAAGATTTAATATGCTAGATTCATGTTTATAAGATTGTAAATTTAAATTCACAGCTAATAGCAGCAAAGGAGCAAGGTTGTCATACTAAAATTATCACAATATGGCAAGAGTCTTTATCGTCAGTTGAGTATTTAAATCTTGACATTCCCAATTGAAAGTTTTACGAAATTGCATACATTTCTGCTTAAAGTAAATAAAAAGTAATGTAATGGGATGAAACAAATAGGGACAGCCAGTATGAAATAAAAAAAAATACCTAAATGTGGTACAGTGACTGTGACTTGGTTATTGGTTCCCACATCAACTGTGGCCATTTTGTTGACATCCACTGATGCTGGCTTAAAATCATCTGAAAAAAAAAACAATAGTTTAGATATATTTATCGATGTTTGTTAATTGAAAACAACTAAACATTTTTCTATGAAATTTGGCATAAATATACATTGTGGCAGAACAATTATGCTACTTCTAAGTTTTTTAATTCTAAGCAAAGTCTAGGTGAAAAGCTAGTATTATATAATTCTAACCAAAAGACATTGGTTAGGATTAATTAGTTAAATATGGATAACACTTATGTAATCATAATTATATAAGTTTTAACCATAGTTATTGAATTGTCCTACATATCTGATGGACATATTTAAAAAAAAATTAAAACTAATATGGCTGAATATAGGAATTAAATGAATACATGTTCAAAATAATATACTTAGCAATTTACTATCATTTAAATAAAGTTGGCATGTTTAACAATATGGCTTCAGGTAAGGGAAATATACTAAAGGCATAATATGATTGATGGCATGTTGTAATCCAATTAAAAATGCTTTCCATGTTATTTTATACACAGAGGCATTGCAAGGTAACAATCTGGTTAAGTCTAGAAGCTACTAACATGGCATTTTTCTTTATGGGGCTATGCCCCATAAGGAGGTAATTTAATAATTAAGTGGGGCAATTTAAAGATGGACTGGGTGATGGGGCAATTTTAAGACATGAACCCTTTTGCTTCACAAAGGCAATGTTAGATGCTTGTGGATGTTTTAATGTTAATAATTGTGTATGAAGGGCATACAAAATTTAGAATTGTTAATTGTTGAAAATTTTATATTTTCTTTAAGTATAATAATATCATTTTTTATGTCCTCTCACTACTAAGGGGTGGTTTAGTGTGTACTTACATTTAATTGTATGGTACTGAGATGTTTTGTTGTTTGTAAAGCTACTGCCTAGCTTCAGCTCCCTCACATCATAGTTTAAACTATGTTTGTCAGCCATCTCAGCTACTTGTCTTTGCCATATGTATTATCTGAAAATCATTTATGTAATATATGAATACAAAAAATATATTCAGGTCAACAATCTGATAGTTATATATTGTATTACATTATCCAGTAGTAATTTTAGTATTTCAATAAGATTAAAAAAAAACTACATTTGGTAATTTCCAACATCTTGCACAATATATATTAGTACTCAAGATGTAGGACATGTTGTATATGACAGTATACAGAGAAGCGATGTATAATCCTACTTTTTATTCCCCTACGCAATTTCTACACTTTTTACATTCACTTTAAGCAATGGCTTTTTTTTAATTTTGATATTTGACTTCAAACGCCCAATTATCTCGTCTAATGGAGCAACAAACATTTCCGTAATCCAATGTACGACGTAAATACTGTTACTGTTAAGTTTTCATCGACTAATTATTTAAAAAAATGGATAAAATAAGCGAAATATGGCAAATGATATGATTTTATTTGATCTTACTCTAATTCCGTCTTCTGTGATGCTCAACTTTCTGCGATGCAGTTGTGTTAAAGGATATTCATAATACTTTCGATTTTTGTTAAATCTTTACACAATTTGTAATTCTATGCCAGCAAATTACTGCTCGAACAATCCAAAAAATTAGACATTGACTATTCTGTCGACCTAGTTCTCATGACGGACACGACATTTGACAGTTTATGGGATGACTATGACGTTTACGTTCTTAAAAGTTTTATAAAGTTTTGTGATGTTTTTGTTTTATGAACAATATGTAAGTGATTAAGTATAAAATGAGATTGTTTACTAATGAATACGTTGACGTACTTTAAGTAAATTCCTAATTTATTTGCTCATTTCCGATATCTTAACCAAGTTGTCATTGACAGATTAATGTCAGAAAAAAGCAAACACAAAACTGTCAACTGTCAGTGACACCGATTTGAAACTGAGAAGCGCAGCGCAGGTAATTTGCAAGTGCATCGATTTTAATTTGCACCATAACCCTGTGTCTCGAAAGGGAAAGGCAAAATCTTCGGACCTCGTATTTTTCACATAATTCACTGTTTCAACATTCGACGCCTGTGACGATATGTGCCGATTACTGTGATATTTAAATGTTAAAGATGTATTTTCTTTATTTTTTATTTAATTCATTAATATTTTAAGTGTGTAATAATTCGTGAGTGCCAAATAATTTGCATATGCTTTCATCTACTGGTTTTTGATTCCGTTAATAAAGATGTAAGTTTATTTCTTCTATCTAATCAATTTATTTGATTTTTTCACTGTATACTATATCTATTATGCTTAAATGTTTCAGGTCGAAATTCATCATATTTTATCTATGTGTTCTAATTCACAATGCTAATCTGATGGATGTGACATATTACGAAATATTGGGGGTATCTAAACAAGCCGCTACACAAGAGATAAAGCAAGCATACAAAAAGCTAGCTGTTAAATACCATCCTGATAAAAACTCCGTAAGTTAATTATCTATTCAAACATATATTTGATTTAGCGTTGTTTTGTAATCTTGAACATTAAAAACTTGTATTAGAAATTGGACTGTGTAGGTAGTGAGTGGGTGTACTACATTCAAATTAAAAATATGTTTATATAGTAATATTAACATAATAGATTTGCTTGAAACAATTAGGACTATAGCCCTTCATTTGGTTTGATTCTTATGCAACTCATGTTACAGCATTCTGCTTCAATTTGTACCCAAATTTCAGGAAATACATTTAAATATGTGAATTATTGTATAGTTATACATTCTTGCAGTTTAGCACAATAAATAAATATGTACATTAAAATCTTGTTGCCAGAAATCAATATTTGTGTCAAATTTTACTTATTATTATTATAAATGCAAAAGTTTAGGTGGATGGATGGATAGATCTTGATGAAATTGGGGACAGTTGTAGAACATATAGCTTACTTAAGTTTTTTATCAGCGCTGAAGAAAAAGTTAGTTTTATATAAAGACACATTTTAAAATTTTACAGGATGAAACAACACAAGAGAAATTCCTAAAAATAACTGAGGCATATGAAACATTGAAGGATCCTGAGAAAAGACGGAAATATGATGTTTATGGTTCACATGCAGCATACACAAAGAAATATGATCATCAAACACAATCTGAATATGACAATCTCTTCAAAAATGGATTGTATCATAATGATCCTTATGTGGTTTCCCTCAGTAGTACTAATTTTTGTGAGTATTTTTGATAGAAATTAATTTTGCAATATCATAAGGTGGCAAATGAAAGCCTGAATTAACCAAAATGACAAAACAACCATTAACATATGCAATTGCAGACCTCTTCACCTTCCTGCATGTCTATATTTTATCTACAGAAGAAGGGATGTACTGAAATAATGTCCCTTCCTATGTAATAATAATAATAACAATAAATAAGAGCTTCGACCAACACCTCAAGAAGCTCTCGCTAGACAGTTGGATTAAGGGCCCGATTCAAAAGGCGGTTATTTTAGAAACCGCACGACTAGTGAGGAGGTTCCTGTCTCTGCAGCCCTGACCACTGGTTGCTTGAGTCATCGGATTCCGCAGCTGGTGGTGCTCTGTTTTTTTATATAATATGTTTTATTTTGTTATTTTTTTAAGAAAATCATGTGAAATATATTATATATACAAATAAGAAAATAAAAATATGAGATAATAAAAATAACAATAACAATAAAGCCATTTAATCCATTCAGAAGGCAAACATCATACACATGCATCCTCTACTGTAAAATCTGCTAATAAAAATTATACAATTTTTTTGCAAACTCATTATAAAGATGTACTAATGAAAACATCTTAAAATACTATTAATAATTTTGTAATCAGTGGAAATGTAATTGAGATCAAACATGTATTTTTGAGTTTCAGTGGCACAGTGGTTAAAGCACTTGACTTGTAATTTATAGGTCTTGGGTTCGAATCCCACCATCTACCAATGTTATTTTCGATTTATACGAATATGTAAATAATTTACCCGACGTTCTTACGGTGAAGGAAAACATTGTTATGCAAACCACACATCAGCGAAACCAACCTGCACTTGGCCAGCTTAGTTGACTATGGCCTAGTCACCCCTAACTTGGGGTGGACTTCAAACCCTTCAGTGGAGACATAGTGAGCTGGTGATGATGATGTATTTTACTATTGTAACCTGATTTTTTTGTTATTTTCCAGTTAGTTATCTATCAGGTGGCTTACATTTTATAAATTTCTACTCACCGTTTTGTCCGCCGTGTCACCGTTTAGTGGACCATTGGAAAAGATTTGCTGAAACGTATCAAGGAATCGTAAGTTTTAATTGAGCTTGTTCATTAATAAAAAATGATTATTTACGTCACTTAGTCCTAAGTACAATCGGGTATTCTCGCGGTGTTCCACCTTAAGGAAACATGACGCGGAACAGTAACCAATAGGACATAGCTTTTAAATGTTTGGTTTTTATTATTGCCTTGTCATTTGTACAATTTACAGCTATCTTGATTTTTTGTAAGAGGCAGAGTTTGTCTCGTTACTAGGAATAAGGCAATTTTTTGCTATTGAAACACCACAATTTCTGCGACTGTGACCACAACTTCGAACCGAGTAGTCTTTAAAAATCATTCAAAACTTAAAATTAAAATTCATCGTTCTCTTTATCCTACTCCCGTAGGGTCAGGCAAACAGGTTTTTGTCCTCCACATAACTATCATAGGTCATCTCAGTCATCACTCTCTTCTTGATCATGTCACCTTTCACACAATCCATCCATCTCTTTAGGTCTATATTACAGCACTATGGAAATAATTATTTTGGTTCACATTGTATTTCAGGTGAAAGTTTCCGCAGTTAACTGCAAATACCACAAATCATTTTGCATAAACACAATGAGTATTGGCAGCCATCCTACATTGGTATTTTTTCTCAATGTGAGTATTTAATTTTTCAATTTGTTATCATATTTCGCATAGGAAATTAATGAAACAAAAGTACTAATTGCTATGCGTCGCTACCATAAAGGATGTTCGGAAAACATATAGTTAGAACAGAATACGCATTTCTTTACCAAAATATGATGACTTAACTCAACTTATTTTTCCAAAGTAACTAAGATTGTTGCTTTATTGACCCGGTGCTTTAAATCTTTTTAATTTCCTTAAACATATTTTTTATAATAAAATCATGAATACTTTCAATTATTATAGTTGTTGCTCGCGACATCGCCTGCGTGAAATAAAAATAGCAAAAATGTAGCCTATGTTAATCAGTGATAACATAGCTTTTTAATGATACATGAGTTTTTAAATGTAATGTAATGGATGGATGTATGTTTGTAAGAGTTTGTAGCCTAAACGTCTGAACAGATTTCGATGAAATTTTGTATATATGTAGAGGATAATCTGGAAGAACACATAGGCTAATCATTTTTATTTTTTTTTTAAGTCGCGGACGGAGTCGTGGGCGTAATCTAGTATTAATATAGATTAGTGACCATGTTAACAGAATATAATTGCTTTTAGGGTGTGCATGGTAATTTTATTCATTATGAAGGGGAGGACACATTTGATGGGCTCGAAAAGTTCATGATGAAATATCTAAAAAACAAAATACATGTGCCAATTATAAGTCAACTGCGAAGTTTAGAAAAACCTGTTGCATATGTTCTTGATACTAATGTTATTGAAGACCGTGCATTGACCAGAATCGCTTACCGTTTGGTAAGTATTTAAAACCATTTAAACTATCCATTGCAAAATATTTCTTAATGTAATTCTATATTTATCTGTATTTCCAAGTATCTTTTTTGTCACTCCTTAATTGATGTGAAAACAGAAACTGAAATTTGTCAAATTAGACACTTTTCGTTCTTTTTTTATTATTGTCAAAATCTTGAATTTAAATGATTAATATTTTATGGTACTTTTACCTGTTTTTGCCATATATTGTTTACTTTTTCTGTCGTTATTTAGGACTGTACAGATGTTTTAAAATAACTTGGCGGCTCAGAAAGTTGTAGTCTCTGAACACGTTAAGTGTGTCGCCTTCACGCCTTCATATTTGGAAAGTAATATACTGTTGTTTATGGTATTACAGAAAGGATTAGTAACCGTAGTTATGATAGACGATGAAGACTTACGTGATGATTTATCAGAGGACCCTGATGTAACCGTTGTGTTTCAATATAAAAATATTTACGTTGAAATATCAAGCACTGACGAGAAGACAATCATAAAACAGATTGCTCAATCTTTACCAGTAGGGGAGATAGATCCTGAAAAATTTAAGGTAAATTTTATATTAAATTATTTTAAAAATAATTCTACAATTATTTTGTATGTAAAAATTATCCCGTCGACTGTTTTAAAACAGATTACAGTTTCTATTAAATCTAAATCTCTTGTACTTGATTGTTTTAAGAATATAAGAAACAAACTGCGTAGCTGTGGAAAAAAGTCTTGGGTGATTTACTTTCCCAGCAAGGATGATGACAATTTGCTTCTACATCAATTTAAAATCAAATTCCCTGACTTAAACTTCGGTAAGTTTAATTTACATTTATGTTTTTTTAAAAATGTATGGTTTGCAAATCAATTCGTCAGCGATCTTTCTCTTAAAATCCCACCAGAATCGATAGTCGAAAAAGTCTACTATGGTTTAATTTTTTTCCAGTTAAAGTCTACATTTTTTTTAATCTGTCGGTACCTAACATACGAGTGAAATTCTCTATTTCGGTGATTATATTACATTACTGGTTGTTGCTTACTTTTTGGGATTTAGCATTGATTTCCAATTCCAATTTACCTATTCCCTAAGTTTAATAGCGTGAAAATATATACCCTAAAATGTGTCGTAAATGTAGGGCTTTTTCTTAAAGAAAAATTTGTTCAATAAGACACTGTGATGGCTGACATCCTACGCCACAAAGTAGTGTGTTTTTAAGCTTTGTTCTTTTAGTATAGATGAATCATTAAAAGATATGCTGTGATTGTATTCAAAGTGTATGTTTTTGCTTTATTATATTATACTCGTTTTTGCCCGCGACTCCGTCTGCGTGGATTAAAAAAAACAAAAATGAGTAACCTATGTGTTCTTCCAGACTAACCTCTACATCTATACCATATTTCATCGAGATCCGATCAGCCGTTTAGGCTACAAACTCTAACAAACATCCATCCATTTATCCATCCATCTAAACTTTCGCATTAGTAATATTAGTATGTTGGTGTACATAAATTTTGATTAAAATTTGATTTCTAGGCACAATCGATTGTATATCGCAAGAAGAGTTGTGCGCGTCTCTACAAATAGAGTCAACGCCGTGTTGGGCGCTGTTAAAGGGCGGCGGCGCGTACCAGCGCTCGTGCACGCATCCAGAGACCTTCATACAGAACTCCGCGGACGCCTACAATCTCCATACATTATCCACAGCTGAAATCCAGAAGATAATGGACGGTCGTAAGTATCTAGCTGTTCATTTCATGTTGACGTCATGTCCCTATGACAGCTGTCAATGTTATTCAGACGTTTTAAGGAATAAAGCGCCGTTCTGACAACGGCGGATCCATGGAGGGGTGGGGGTCATGGGGTCATGACCCTCCCTGAGCTGGTTGAAGAGCTTGAGAAAATGTATTTACATATTTTGTCAAGCTCTTGACTTGACCACGACTATGTGAACCCCTGGCGCCAAAGCTGGATCAGCCCTTGCATTCTGACGGTATCAGTAGATTTGAGTATTGAATTTAATTACGTTGTTACAATTGTATTCATGTCTAAAACAATAAAAACTTTCAAAGTACTTTAAAACCAAAATATTCGCAAAAAAACAATACACTAAAAAGTAACGAAATAATTCCTTGAATATGTAAACCTCCCTTATTGTAGCTGTTATGTCTATATTGTACAATTATTATTACTTTGATGTCGGTGTCAGCCGAGGTATGCAGTGATATCTACGTAGGGCTTTTTTCATATTAACCATAACAATTGACTATTGAACATATAGTTATTTCTACAACTCTTCCATAAATCATTTTATTTAAATCTTATAGTTTAGGCTTTGTAAACAAAGAAAGCAAAAAGAACCCAATTTTCGTCACGCGATTTTGAGCTCAACTATTTAACTACGCCGTAGTCTGACTCCAAAAAATCACGACTAAAACCTATCTGCAAGCACTACCTTTCAAATAAAAAAAAATCATATTCGGTCCGCTAGTGGCGGAGTTATGCATACACATAAAAACATACAGATGAATTGAGTACCTTCTTTCGAGAAGTCGGTCAGAAAGTACAAAGATGAAATGTTCCGTTGTTAGGTGCGGGTACGTGGGTGTTGCTAGTTGTACCGCACAACGCCTCTTGGGAACACCTCGCTAAGCCCTTCACTGATGCCAGCAAATATTACCTCGACAAGTATATCAATGTAAGTGATTTATTTATCTATTTATAAGGTATACCAATTGCAATGCAATTGACAAAAAAATAATAATAAAAAGACGCTAAATCAGGTAACTACATATCACACACACACACACACAAATGAAGACAAAACAATACAAGAATAAAAGAAAAAGTGATCTAGACTTATTTCATAACTAGCTTTCGCCCGCGACTCCGTCCACGTGGAATTAAAAAAAAACAAAGTGAGTAGCCTATGTGTTCTTCCAGACTATCCTCCACATCTATGCCAAATTTTATCGAAATCCGTTTAGCTGTTTAAACTACAAACTCTAACAAACATCCATCCATCTAACCATCCATCCATCCATCCATCCATCCATCCATCCATCCATCCATCCATCCATCCATCTAAACTTTTAGAACTGCCACCTACTTTTGTAATATTACGATGGCTCCTACATGTCTATGTAAACGATAGTCTTATCGTAAGCCACAATTTTGCCATTTAAACGTGTTTCACATATATTTTTTACTCTTCAAATATAAAATAGTAGCTGTTGCTCGCGACTTCGTCTACGTGAGATTTAAAAATTAAGCGTATGTTACTCAGCGGTAACGTAGCGTTCTAATAGTGAAAGAATTTTTGAGATTAACTCAGTAGTTTTTGAGTTATTTCAATACATACAAAAGTACATAAATATAAATCTGTCCTCTTTATAATATTAGCATAAATTATGTAACAAAAAAAAAGTTAAAAATACAGTTAAAAAATCAAAAATTGTACATTTTATTTGTTTATAGTATTATTGATATGTCTATCAATATTATTTTCATCTTGCAAAAGTTACGTAGCATTAAAATCTTATATTAAAAAAATTGTGATATCGAATATGTTTAATTTCAGTTCGGAATAATGGAGTGCAGTTTGCAAACGGCGCGGTACTGCGGCGCGGGGCAGGGGCGGCCCGCCGTGCTGCTGCAGCAGGGCGCCGACACGCACCTCTACAAGGGAGAACTGAATACCGAAAATCTTGCCGACTTCATACAACTTATCAAAGATAGTGGCAGTAAGTTTTAGATTATAGACGATTTTTTTTTTATATTGTAAGGTACTCCACTACCACCACCACCTGAATCCGCCAAAATGGTAAAGCGACAGCTACCCATATATATTCGCAATAGCAGATGCGTTGCCTACCCCCTTAATCGACGTAGGAGGAGACATCTCCTCCTCCTATGTGTATCCTCCACCATCAAATACACGTCTCTTTTCCATCCTGTTCTTATGAGAAAAAGGGGAGCAAAGTAGATGGGACCTCCTATGTGTCTCTTCCACCATCAAATCCACGTCTCTTTTCCTTCCTATTCTTATGAGAAAAAGGGGTGCAAAGTAGAAGGGACTAAGGTTAGGCCTTCGTCACCATACTTATCAGATAGTACGCGGAATTGCTCCTACTTCACGCCTTTCTTTTTATGATCGTGGTATTACTGCAGTACGAAGATG